GAATTTGAACTCTGTAGCAATTGAAATGTGCTGAGGACAAAGGGGGATGTCGGGGAAGGAAGAGAAAGAAAATGAGACATTTTAAAAGCAGCTGAAACAGTAGTTTATTTTATGTATTTATGTATTTATTTATATTCCGGCTTTTGTCCCATATAGGACACAGAGCAGTTCACACCATACATTAAAATAATACAGCTCAAAACAATCTGGGATACAAAAATTAAAATTAAGCCTAATTTGATGTAAATTGTTTTGAATTATCTAGTGTCCTTTAATTCAAGGATACTTCTAGTGTGACCCTTCAGATGGTGTTGTACAACAGCTCCTATGATTTCTCACCACACCTGCTTCAGTTCTTCTTAATAGAACTATTTGTATTCTATCTATTATAAAGTTGTGTGGCTTGTCTTGCACACATTACCTCTGCATTGTATGCCTGACCCAATGGAGCAGTCTTTTGTTACATATACTGCAAACCCTGAGGCTTTGCACCCAGTATCAGGATACAGGGACAGAACAACACCATTGCTGCGATTTCATCATATAACTTCATTTATGTGCATCTGTCCTTTCTTTCTGTCCTCAGCACATACGTTTTACTCACTCTTCAAATAACCTGCTTATTAGAGATTAATCAGAAGTGGTTTATTTGGAGGATTGTACTGATTAACTGCTACAAAGATCAGCAGGTGAATCCAAAGTGGGGAATTCTTAAATTTAAATTCTGAAATTATTGTGTCTCTGAGCATATGCTGAACATTTTGTGCACATTGCATCCCTTCTGCCTCCCTACTTCCAATCAAGAAGTGTGGTCTGTAAAGATCAGTAGCTAAGCACATTTTGCATTCTGGAATCAGGATCCCCAAATTAAATCTGTGCCGTCTTAAATGATCAGGTAGCTAACAAGCCCCCTCCCGTCTTATCTTACCTACGGTATACAGTGCGCCCGCACCATCCGCAGACTCGAGGTCATGTGGACAGCGAGTGACAGTAAAATGAATGGGCCGCACACCCACAATGCCTGTGCAGTGCTACGCTCGAGGGCATGCCCCATTCAAACCAACAGGCCTTGAGGTCCCATATTTTTTGCTTTATGCAGGGTGGTCTGGAACAGATCCCCCACATATAGGCAGGGCAGACTGTATAATTAAAATGTTTGTGGATAAAAAGGGAATCTAAATGGGGAGGGGAGGGGGAAGGGAGATGGAGAGGCTGAGAGAGAGAAAAAATGATGAACTTATTGTCTCTCTTCTGTGTCCTGCAGGCATGCAGCAACAAAAAACAAAAACTAGGCCCACTAGAGAAGCAAACTATCAGCACTGTCTGAGGTGCTTGCCTCAACAGTAACTATTAACACAACAGAGTGCAGAAGCACAAACTCAGTAGTATTTGGCCATATTATACTGACTAAACTTGAATGATGCACAGACACAGCTGGATTCTTCAAAAAGTCCTTGAGGCTTTTGTCAATATGTACAAGTTATATACAAACTCTCCTGTAACTCTCTCCAACATTCACTCTCTACAAACAACACACCAACTCTACAAACCACTCTCTTCATCAAACCACTACCATTAAACCAATCTTCAAGCCACACCTGCTCTGGGTTTTAGAGCACTTATATACAGTGGTAATACTAAAGGTTGAAACCTGGTGATACTTCTCATTTACAGTCATACAAACTATTTTACACTGTCTTAAAGGAACCTTGTTCCCAACAATCTACTCCTAAATAATTTGTTATGGTGAAATTATACAAAAACAGAACACAAATATTAGAAGTACATTAGGATTATACAATATACAGTTTGACATTATTGTTCTTTACAGGTTATTGTTCACAGCATTTATTGAAATCCAGCAAGGCAACTATTTCCCCATGCTTCTGAGCTGGCAATGTCCTTG